CCATCGAATCACGGGGCACGATGCCAGTAGAACTTATAGACGGCTGGACTCCGTGACTAGAATACATTACCGCCAGCAGGCCATCGTCTGCTCACAAAGATAGGCCTAGAGTGCATGAATGCGGCGAGAAGGGGGGGGGCAGAGAGGATTGAAAGAAAACGGTGTAAGGTGGAACGGGAGGGTGAGGGTGGAAGGGGAGGGTGAGGGTGGAAGGGGAGGGTGAGGGTGGAAGGGGAGGGTGAGGGTGGAAGGGGAGGGTGAGGGTGCAAGGAGGCAGGGGAGGTGGAGGGGGAGGGTGAAGGAGGCAGGGGAGGGGGAGGGTGAAGGTGGTAGGAGGTAGTGAGTAAGCATCACGCTTTTACTCTTCCACTCCAGACGTGTCAGCTTATCGCTAATGATATGCAAGGCTCTTAACACTCACTGTAGAAGGCTGGGAAGAATAGGAGGTGATTGAAGGAAGGGATGAAGGAGAAGAAAGGAAGGAAGGAAGGAAAGAAAGGAGAGGGAGGGATGGTTAGATGGAGAGACCGAGGAAGAAGGGAGGTAGTGAATGTGTGAATGTCTGTGCGCCGCTGGTGAGTGAGCGTGTGTGTGTGTGTGCGTGCGGGCGTGTGTACGCATGTGTGTACGCGTATGCGAGTGTGCATGTGCACGTCCCAAATAGCCATACCTCTGCCGGGGCAAAGCCACTTTCAGACAGGCCCTGCCCAGGCACAAGCGAGAGGGCCACAGATGCCTTCCCAAACCACCTCTCCAATCAAAATAACAACACAATGAAGACAAACAGGCAAACAGACATGCAGGGAGAGCGAACCCACAGCTGCCCCGCCGCGCAGCTGTGCACACTGGCGTGTCAGACAAACATATAATTTTCGTTACATTGGTAATATTGCAAGACGAAATAATGCTTTCGCTCTAACCTTGGCGAGCAGACTTCGGCAAGGCCTCGTGCACTGCTCGCGGCCGGGAATGCAAGCGCCATGAAGCCGACCTGCGAGGGAGGCGATCGCTGGCTCCCAATAGCACTGTCTTGCCTCTTCTCACGAACCGCTGGCCAGAGGTCGGACCTGATCTGAATTTACAGCCCGATTCGGGTCGGAGAAAATTATCGTTTGGCGACTGCTTAATCGGACAGTTTGGCTCTTTTCGAAAAATCCAAAAATCCATTTTTTTCGGAACAAAGTCACTCGGAAAAATCTACCTTCCTTTAGTTTTTGGGACGCGAAGTTTGCCTCGGGTTTGAGGATTTTCTGTTGTTGTCTTTTCCAGGTCACTACTGACACCCAGTGCCACCCCCACCCCGCCCCCCATGACCCCAGCAACCCCCAAGAGTTGAGGAAATGTGTAAATAAAAAAAATTGGCTCACGCTAACAAATCCCCCCCCCACCTAAAAAAAAAAATAGACTTACCCCATTGTTCAGCTACTCGAAGAATAGTATTCGCCTCCTGATGTATTACGAAAACACAAAATTTTGGGGAAAAAGTTTACGACAAACACACACTCCACCAACGACGGACACCGACTGAGCTCTGCCTGTAGTTGGTACCCACAGGTTCATTGTCATCGCGCGAGTGGTCGGTTTGTGTTTAATCTTTTATTTTATTACTCTGGGAAGACTTGGTACTGAGATTTCTACACGCCATGAGGAATCTCTAGTTATGCTGCTATGGAAATCTGTCTAGTTTTCTCTGAATTTATGTAATGATGAGCAAAGGAAAATTAAATAACATATTATTGATACTTCCATTGGCAACTGAGGTCAAAGGATGTATGATAATTTCTCTCTCTCTCTCTCTCTCTCTCTCTCTCTCTCTCTCTCTCTCTCTCTATATATATATATATATATATATATATATATATATATATATATATATATATATATATATATATGCATTTGTGTAGACAGATAGATAAGAAGATAGGTAGGTAAGTAGGTAGATAGATAGATACATAGATATTTCTATCTCTGCCTCTGTCTCTATCTTTATGTGTGTCTGTGTTCGTTTAGCTCTCTCTATGTAT